AGGCACCGGAGGTAAATGACCTGTTCAACAGTTTATTAGAGTGCCTTTCAGGCTGAGACAGAACGGAGACGTTCAGACACACCTCTTGTGTGTCGTGCGTCTTTGTGAGCATCTCTGTCTTGGTCGGTGTAATTCACAGTCTCTTGGTTTTTGACAGCAGCACATGTCAATGTCCTGCTGCTTTGGTGTTGAAGAGGAACCATCTGGCTGCGACGCACGGCTGACGATAATATGTAGGTACTGTCACCGGGCACCGGAGGGATTCCTCGCAATTTTTTTAATTTTTTTTTTTATAAAACCAACATCAAGTTAATCTGCATGGGTCCAGTCAGGAGACTCTCCTACATTAACAGCTTTTCTTAAGAGCCCATAAAGGGGAGCGAGCTAATGAAGCTACGGAGAAACAAACTCCTTCCATATCTGTTGGGCCAGGGCCAAAGTTCTCTTGTACAGTCATTTGGAAATGCTAATATATCCAATCGGTGATGTAGAACTTTAATAATGAATAATGTTATTGTGTTGTTTAACAATTAGCATAAAATAAGTGGAATGTAGCCCCCTTGTCTATAGCGCAGTACACCATAAACAAGTGTTCACAGGCCACATTCATCAATTTAGCATGTGTACAGCACCCAGAGCAGTGGCTGCCTTCCCATCTGAATACATTAGGGAGGAATATGTTACATCGCGGACCACGGCTGACCAACCGCATTAGATCTGGCTATTAAGTGTGATAGATTTCTGCTTGGAACACAAAGGATGCTTTGTGGTTAACAAAGCTAAACTACTCCTTAGACGTTTCAGATATGCACATTGGTATCATTGATTCGTGGAGTCTCTATAGAAGCGGGCGAGCATTTCCACCACGGCGGAGAAGAACAACTTTGAGCAGAGGCAGTGAAGAAAAGAAAAAAAAACCCCAAATCAAAGGTACGCATTTATGCCCCAGGAGCACGAGGGACGTGTCATTATCCAAGTGAGGCGTAAGAAATCAATGATAGTGCCTCAGTGCGCATAATATTTAAGGACTCACGTCTGTCTACAACTAAGTATACCCTGTACATTAAACATCTGTCTTTATCATTTTCTTCATTTGAAACGCTGTTATTACTGTGACACGGAGTGACCCAGAGCCGCTCACTCACCAGGAGGAATCACATTTTTTTAAACGCGGTAAAAGAAGTACATGCAGACGGAGGGCGGAGGTGCGGGGCACATTTTAAACTCCTTTTCGAAGGATTGTGTTCTCTAAGTGCCAAACAAAGAAAAAAAAAATCATATTACTTTAATTTAATAGTGGAAAAAAATCATATTACTTTAATTTAATAAAGTGATAATATTCTAGTTTCTTTATATAAATATATATATATATATCACTGACTTCTCTTCATTTTGCAGTATCTTACACCCGAAACAATAATATCACAGTGTTGGCACAACACAGAAGTAGGTTTGGAACAGATGGAACTCAGCTTAAATGTCTGTGGATCGAATTTCGTCATGTTGTCCCAGTGATATCCCTAATATTCTGCTGCCTTTATCATATAGAAAGCAATAGCTTTTAGGCTTTGTTTTTTGTTTTTTGTTTTTTTGTCTGTATAAAAAAAAGTGTTTGTTCAAATAAAAAACTAGCAAACCAAAATATGTACAATAAAACAAAAGAGCCAGACAGGGAATGAAGTGAAGAGAGAGCAGAATGAAATAAAACAGACAGATAATTAAAACATTAAACAGCTGATGTCAACACACATTCTCAATGTCCTGAGTTTTTACTGGGACGTTTCTAATGAAAAGATGAGATATTGTCATCACGTACCACACAACACAAATAACACACAGGCCAAAAGAGCAATCACACTAAAGCAACAGCATTAATGAATCATTTCTCTCTCTTCAGGGAGGAGTGCTCCAAATCCACTCGTGATAGATGTAGAACAAAGCAAACAACAGGCAGTCGCAAACAACCCTCTTTGCCATTTCCCATTCACCAGTGTGGTCATGAGATGAGTCCTGAACACCTCAGGACTCCAGACGGGTCACAGGGCAGGACTGGTCTCAGTGGGACAGTTGCCTCAGGCTCAGCAAGAGGATGGAATATTTTCTTGATACAGCAGGAGGACGCCAGCGGGTGGAAACCAGGCAATATCCGTGGACCAACATTCCCAACACAACTCACTGAATCCCTCCCACCTCGTCCTCTTCATTTCTCTGGCCACAAACAGTCAGACGCTTTATTTTCACCACCTGACCCATATACAAAACCGCTTCCTGGGGACTGCTGCTCCAGAAACATTGTCCAGGTCTTTGATCTGACTCCAGACCGCTGACTGAAAGTCACTACAGCTTCAGCGTCTCACAGAGGCTTTTCATCTCCTGAGCCTGAGCAACACTTCCCATATCTTTTGTCATTCCAACACAAGTGTGTTAAAACACACACACACACACACAAATAGGCCATGACGCTGATTGACCCGTGACTAAAATGGTCTCAGTGTTTGCTTATCAGCACATGTGAAAAACACCGGGTCGCTGACAGGAGGCTCACAACACCTGTCTGTGCTGAGTAAAAGCGGAATTTACAGTGGAAGACAAAAAAAACAAAAAACATGCTGAACCATTTACACGGAGGGAAAAGAGTGCAGATTTAATTTAAAAATTGGCACGCATTCCTCATTTCTACAGATGAAAGCTCGTAAATGAAAAGCCTGGAATCTTGCCTGGTATGGAAATCTCAAGTTATGAATAATGCCTCTGTCTCAATCATCAAGTCTGTTTTAATAAAGTGAATTAGCTCTGCACCTGAAGATGGAAACACACACACGGCTGCACCTTTAACCAACCAGAGGAGGGTCTCAGGGGTCCTGAACCTCACATTCCTTTGCCCCCGTTGGAGTTCACGGAGATGGAGCAGCCACAGCCAACTCAGGCTTGTCATCTATGCCCATGAATCCACCTTCAATGGAGCGGCACCGCCGCGAGAGCAGCTGATTTACACACAGTTGCTAATCAGCTGAATTGCTCTCTTGCTAATGAAAACTCATAGATCTATACAACAACAACACTACTGATATGATTTTAGCCTCTATTACTCAGACTGCGAGTCTGCGACGGGCAACACGAGGATGAACGCTACCAGGGGTTGTTAGCAGGAGAGTTTGGCGTCAGATGTTTCCGATGAATCTAGGTTACTGCTATCTCTGTCCTGGCCTAAGAATTAGAGCATGCTATTTACACGATCAGTATTTCTCTGTAGACATACAGTAAATATCAAAGGTATAAAACGTCCTTCCCTCTCGTCCGGCTCCAGTGACGGTTTAGCCTTTAGCTGATCACAGAGAGCCGTGAAGTGACCGGGAAACATTAAGGCCACCACAGGGTCGGGCTGTTCCAGATCAGCAGAGGTTCATTTCTCCTCTGTGCAAATCCGATAGGCAGCGGACTAATCATGTGTAGGGCCATGACACAGAACTGTGTGGACACAGTGGGAGGCGAGCATCCATCCATTCACTGTACTCATCCAGCAAATCACTTGCACTTCCAGCAAATGAGAATGAATTCATTGTGACTTACCTGTCCCGTTGGCTGTGTTTGCTAAGAAGAGAGGACACAAAGCTGAGCAGCTTTGAGATGGACCGACATTGATGTCATTGTAGTCTTATGGACTACCTGGCTGTGAATGTCTCTTTGGAATAGACTGACTGATTGGCTGTTTATGAGGAAGTGAACTCACCACTGGAGCAGTCCAGGCCTCCCCATCCAGGCTCACACTGGCATGTGTCGGGGGACACACAGCGTCCATGGACACACTCCTCTGTGCACAAAGCTGCAACACAGAGATATTCCCACATCAGTGCAGTTCATAACGAAGTTGTTGACGGAGACTAACGAGGCTTAAAACGACATTAAAACCTCAACAGGCAGCGCCATGAAAGATAACAATTTACAGAAAATATGCACAAGATTCAGGGCTTAAATCAATGCTATGGCACCTTATCATTAACATCAGTTCTAACGCCTTGACAAGTGACTATCATCATTGGTTTATCGCAAAGATTTATTTCCCGCGATGAGCAGCTTTCAGCAGAGCGAGCCAGAAGGAAACAGGCTGTAAATCCCCTTTAATTTGATCAGCCTGCGCTTTGTCATGTAGTGACGCTCTAATGTAGCAGGCCCAGGCCGCACACTGTTTACTAACTCTGCACTTTTCCTGATCGTTCGCATCGAGCAACACAGCAGCCCATTGATTGGACGTGCATTACTATTCTCCGGAGCATGTTCGCAAGAGCTGGAAGTTTGGTTCATCTGCGAAATGAAATGACCTACAAAGAGTTGTTTATTTTTACACTGCCAATTTTCTGCATAAAGGCAAAATACCACAAAAGTATCTGAGTATGAATAAATCTGCAGCCAGGGCGTCAGGCCAGCAGATTGGAGACATGGAGGCTCTTATCGCAGGAGGGAGACAGCCAGGCAAATACAATGAATCAGAAACTGGGCCCAGTGGAAACGGGCGGTACACATGGGCTGAAGATGGATGGTGCAAAAACCCAAGGCCATCCAAGAGTCCATCGTCTTAACTGATGAGACTTCATCCAACACTTCAGACGAGTCGGCCATCTTCTGGCATCAAAATTCACAAAAGGCCTTGTATACAGTTTTTTTAACAAAAGTCCTGGGCTGATTTTACAGCTCTGTGCACCACGCTGTGGTGTTCAGTCTGAAAGCATATAGAGGTCAGCAGGAGCTGGCAGCAGGCCTGAATACTGCTGCTATAGATTATCACTCAATCAGACTTCGATTAGAATCTACTGACAGAAGAAAGGTGTAGCAGGAGGGGAGAAGCCGGGGTGAATCCCAAACACCCAGGAGCTGGTGTGAATCGTACAAATGCTTCCAGTGTGAAAACAGCAAGACTGGAGATTGAAAGATTATTCATGGAAGATTTCCTGGGCATGGGCTGTTTCCTTTTAGTAAGCCGGCAAAAAAACAAGAAAGAGAACTAGCTCCAACATTTGTGCTGACAAAGGGGGCGACAGCGACTTCATGTTATCAATGCGTCCACAGTATGTAGAGCAATCTCAATGAGAAAAGGAGGCGAATTCAATGTCACCGTGATGACATGATTTCGTCTGGATTCAATCTGCAAATTTGGATCAGCAAGAACAGGGAAATGCAAATGCTGTCGCATCCTTCAGAAAAGAGGAATATGGAAATGAAGTTTTGAATATGGGAGAGAGGATAAAGCACTTCCTTCTCCTGAGATCTGAACCAGTGTACTGAGGGATGGCATAATAAAGTAGGAGGTAGGTCTTTCATTTTAATTGAAATTCATTCACTCGGCTCTGAAGAATCTGTTGGAAAATGGAGTCTTTCATCTAGATAAAAAGCTAATCTAACTCATTATGCAGAGGTGTTATCAGAACAGGGAACAATGGGGGCTAATTGGTGATTGTCATGCGGTGTTAATAAATGTAATATCCTTGGCCAGTCAGACGATAATCTCTTTTAATGTCAGATGAAACAGATAATTAAATTAAAAAAAATAATAATGTTGCTTCTTCGGATTTGTTTGTTTGTAGGTTTTGAAACCGTCGAATGTTTTCGCCGAACAGAGTGTGGTGATAAACACAGAGCACTGCGAGGATGCTCGTGGCTAAATGAGTGTACCAGAGGTGCTTTCAGAGCATATCGCACATCTCTCTTAGAAACTTCCTCCACATGCCTCTCATCTATCAACATGATTTATTTTAAGACTGCATCTTTGAAGCATTAAAAAATGCAACAAAGCCCAAATGAAAAAGAAATCAAAAGCACATATTCCCTTTCTGGAGAAAAATCTCATCATCTTTCCAATCAGGCACACCCAGACATTGGATGCGTTTGCGTACTGCGGCCTGAAATGTTATCAGCGCCCAACTAATTTTGCTCCCAAAGTCATTTCAGAATTAAAGTTGCGGCGCAGGACAAGACAAAAGTCATGTCGAAGTCATCGAGTCTAAATGTCCTGCATGAAAAGAGCTTGTTCATAACCTGTGAGCCTCTGCAGATATTACAAGCTTCTGCCATTAGAGCGTCTCTCTCTTCCTAATGTCCAGCTGTAATAATCACACTTATTAGGAGGGAAATGACTCGGTGGCTACTCTGCTACTCTGGGAGTGAAGTAATAACTTAGCCAAGATCAAAAGTATCTTCACTGATAATTGACCAACCGTGGAAAACAAGAAATGGGCGGAATTCAGGTTTAGACTGTTATTAAAAGTCCTCATTAAAAATGTCCTGCTCTTTTGCTGCTATCTTTGACTGTACATCACGTCCACGATTCCTTCACAGACGTTTCATATAGGAATAATCGCTGGCTGTAATTTTCTTTGTGTTGCCACACAATTTAAATATCAAATGAAAGGCGAGCACTCCTTTAATGTCCCTGGCAGCGTACCAAATTTGGTAAGCGTTAATGGATGGCGCTACACTAAATTTGTCGGACAGTTTCCATTCAGAAATTAACACAGTTTCCAGAAATAGATCAGTCCAGGAAATTTTGAATACATTTACAAAATGGCCAGCGTGCTGGCACCACACGTAGATCAGCTTGGCAAGAGCGAACCTTTAAAGCCAACAGCGGCCAGAGTGCTGGGATTAAATTAAACTGTATACAGTATATACAGTACATATGTATATATATATATATATATAAATATATATAAAGCCTTAGAGCCTAAAGATAAGTGGTATACAGTACATAATGTTTGTCTAAAAATGTCAAAACATTTTTTGGATAGAAAGTGTCCATGCCTTGAAGTTTATTGACATGACCTAAATTAGTTCAAAAGTAAAGTCCAGATCAAATTAAGAACCTCTGGTGCAGTTATACTTTCCTCAATTTCTGATTTGCATACTTGGAAGTTAGAGCCATATTAAAAAATTAAAAACAGCACAGTGTAAAAATAATAATAAATTAAATTCATCTCGGCCCAGTCTAAGTACGAATACTAATCTATAGAATATGCACAGCAGAGAGAGTGTCCTTGGCCCGAAGAAGTTGAAGACCACAGTCTGAGACAACTGATGATTTAGTGCATCTTAACTTACTGTCCGGCTGAGATATTACATTAAAGAGATTGAATTCATCGAGTGGGATAGGTCAGTGGAGTCAGACATCTCCAAGGTTCTCATATTCAGCTGGTTGACGTCCTGAAAAGACTGGTAGGACACCAATACTTCCATTGTCAGCAGAAGGGTTAATGAATACGTTATTGATTTATCTGCTCCTCCCTCCTCCTCTTAAACACCTCCAGATAATCACAGTGACTCCTCCAGGCTGGCTGGTTTCCCAGTGCTCTGCTGCCCTCAAGCTGGTAAAGTCTAGACAAGGGCAAACGTCGCCCTGGTCAAAGAGCACAAGCCTGAAGGTCAGGCGTCAGGAGAATCAGTCACTCTTACTATTCAGATCTCCACGTTCTTAAAATAGACATAATTATCTGACTACATTCTCATTCTAAAAGGGAATTGGAAATGAACCGTGGCGTGCGTCCTGTGTAATGTGTCCAACATACAAAATATTCTGTTTGATGTGTGTGTGTGTCTGTGTGTGTGTGTGTAAAGAGAGCACCGGTGACATTAGACTGAAGCTCAGAAATGACAGGGATGGATTTTAATCAGCGTAGTGGTTGAGGCTAACTTTAATGACTTTTGCTTCTCGTGTGAAGCAAACGTGGTTTTTACAGCAGGTGCTGTAACGCTTCACACGTGGTTTTTACAGCAGGTGCTGTAACTGCACAGTCTGTAACCAGGGCTCCGTTGGCTTGTTAATTCTCGCCAATGTTATATAACTTCAATTAAACGACTCTATAAGGAAGAGTAAAGCTGGGGGCAGGTTTAGGTGTATACTGCTCCTCCTCCACAGATAAACTCACTCAGCGGTGTAGAAGCTGACTCCAGTCACGGGGCGTCCAAAGAACCAAGCACCAGCTCTACTGTACTGTATGTGTTGTTAGAAGCTACGGTAATAATCTCCGTGTGTTCAACAATCAGTGAGGTCGAGGTGAAAGGTTCGTACTTACGAACACACAAGTCTCCGCTCTCAAAGTAACCGGGGCAGCACTGTGAGCGACGGCGATACATGGTCCTGACTCCTCGTCTGTAAGCTGTCTTATAGCTGATCCTGCAGAAACAGCCACATCCAGACAGGAAAGTGATGTGAGCAGTGACTTGACCTATTTTAAAGGCAGGATAATGTACATGGGCTAAATATAACTACTGTCATAATATTTTGGTTCTAAAGCCAGGGCCCAGTTGGCATTTGCTTAGTTATATTTTGTTCGGGCAAACTTTTTACCGCATTTTTTTTCCCCTCTGGGCTACTTTTGCCAAACATCATTACTGAAACCATGGTACATTTACTAAGAAGTAACAAAAATCAGCGGTTGTTGTAGATGGTCGGTTTTTGTCTGAACTTTGGGAACATTCATTTTATTATTACACTATCTAAATCAGTGTTTCCCAAACTTTTTTTCTGGGGACCCATATTTTAAAATTTTTAAAAATAATTTTATATATAATTATTCATAGACATGAAACATGATGCGAGACGATCCAAAAAACCCCCCCAAAAAACTCTTGCGACCCACCTGAGGGCCGCGACCCAGTCTTTGGGAAACAATGATCTAAATCATGTATTTTATGAATGTGGGCCAGTTCTGGTCTGTGAGCTATATGTTTGACATCCCTGCCCAATGTCTTATTTGACTGGTATGCAAAAGATTCTTTTAAATGTCTTTAAAAAAAACACTAAACAAACCAGTAACAAAAGCCTGATTGTTTTTTTTTTCTATTAAGATAAAAGTTAACAGTCCACCGTACAGAGGAACTCTGAGAGTCTGTATCATGAGAATTTCAGGGGCATTTCTTGTTCAAGGGCATTTTGCCCAGAGCCTTGCTTATATCTGACAACGGTGTTTTGAAATGACAAGGTGTAGAAGAACGACTGAACAAAATGCTTAAGTAAAAAGTAAAACGTCTGGCATTAAAGTAAACTTAAGTAAAAAGTAAAACGTCTGGCATTTCGTGAAAACGACCCTCGCCTAAAGTCCCTGGACTCTCAACGTTTACTGTAATTGTATTTCAGGCAAATAACACGTCTGATTTAACAACAAATGAACTCAAAAGGTTTACTGTGACCTCGACAGAAGGACACGAGTCTAGAGTCTGCTTTAGGGGCGAAGAAGACGACGAGGGTCGTGTCCAGTGATGTGATAAATACGGACAAGCCTCCCGTAAACATACCTGTGTCTCGTGCATTTGAACCAGTTGAGGATGTCTGTGCAGCGGGTGTAATAGATCTGGTCGAATGGGTGAGCGTAGGATTCCTGCACAGTCACAGCGTAGCTGAAAGAAAAGGAGTTGAACAGTAAAGGTTTCCTCAATGAGATTCGGCTGCTTTTTTTTTTTTCTCTTCCTCTTATATTTGACACACGTCACGCTTGAGGACGACGACATGGCTCTCCAGGTTAACACACAATTCTGTCCTGCACAGTGGCTCTGGTCAGGGGTGGGGAAAATATCGATACAGATATTAGTATTCTGTCCTGTGCAGTTCAATTATAATTAATCTGGAAACACTGATCTATATTTTCATCTAAATGTCAATAACTCCACAGCATCACTACATGAGGACTCACTCATTACTGATGAGAGGGTAAACAACAATTTGATCTATTTTAGTTATTCCCTGCATCTATAGGACGTGTTTAATCCTACAGCAGGGTATGATCACTAAATCTATATAATATAAATATATATCAATATATATATATTCATCATTTTACACATCGCTCCCTTTCTTCGGAGTGGAATGTAACAACGCAAAATCCACTAAAGGCAAACGAGCAAAGATACTGTGATGAACGAGCAGCTGAAACAAATGATTAGCTCATACAAAATTATACGTTTCTCACATTTAAGACGAAAATTCCAGGCTGGAAAAAATATAGACTTAGCTCATGAAAAATGTAATCATCTATGAATATGTAGAGCCGTCCACTTTCCTGATCATTAATCTGCATTTACCCTTTAAAATGTTGGCCTTCCTGGAATATATATATATATATATATATATATATATATATTTATCTGGTGAAGAGAAACTGTTTTTAATGTTTTTAAATGCTTGTCCTGCCACTGTTTCTGCTCAAACTGGAGTAGGGCCTTCATTTCAATATGCAAATGAGCGTGTTGAAAGCAGCTAAGGTGATTGGTGTTAATGATATATGCTGCCAGCAGCAGACTGAGGACCTTAAAGCCACGAGCACAACCCACTTAGGGAATACGTTTTGATGTCGGCACAGTGGAGCCACGGTCCCCAGTACTCTCACCTTGGCCAGGCAATAATCTGGATGATATATCTTCCCGGCTTTCTTTCCTCCCCTTTGCATCGAGGACGGAAATTATTCCTCCTTATTTCTCAAATGTGACACCATCCAGCACAACTAATAATTATTCAGGCTCTGTGGCTGTCATGATTGATCGGAACGAGAGTACACTGATCAATTTGCCTGCGCATTTCATTTGAAGCTGCAACTCCTACAATCTCTTGGCACCTTAAGCCGTGCCAGATCAATACTGCTGTTCGGACTTTGAGAATAGATCTGGAACTTTGGTTAAGACGTCTCCGAGCAGATGTACTGCTAAAGTTCCAGGATCAACAGTATCCGTCAGATTCCGGTCCCGATGTGAAATTCCGCTCACGCTCGTAAAAACGCAGCCGGCTACGTCCTCACCTCTCCCAGTGGCTGCAGACGTTGGGGTCATCAGGGTTCAGACTCCACACACCACACGGAAAGACCAGGCTGAGCAGCAGGAGAGGCAGGGCAGAGGACGAGCCCATCCTTCACTCTGAGGGAATGCAGGAAATAAGGATAAGTGCTTCACAGAGGAACGGAGCCACTTTTTATTGGCTGCTCTACTGTCCTTGTCCGTCCTTGGGAGAAAGACACAGGCGTTAATTCACAGATGCATTTGATGACTTTAGAAAAGGCCTTTTGTTTTTGTCTTTATAGAGAGATTTTAATGGGGAGCTTGAATCTGTTGACATGTTTGTAGAGGAGAAAACCAACCTGGAGTCAGCATTTTTCACTAAAACCCACTCTGATAAAATGCAAAACAGGAGCAGTGAGCATGAATTTTAATTTCAAGGACAACCATGTTTTTACCCAAAATACAACCCGGGTGAAAATTTAAGAACTCCCAGACGAAATAATCCGTATATTCTTACAGTCGGTAAACAAGAAGCCAATTCTTTTTCTAGCAGCAAGAACGCATTTTGACATTGGAAGTGAAGGATTCATTTACTGTATTTTTTTTTTCTAGTTGTTATCATTTTCCATGCCAACACCAGTCTTTTCAATTTGGTTGTTTTTATCCCCACCTCCTGTCTGAACGACCCCAAACTCGTGAGGATCTCGGAGCTCAGGCTCAGTTTGGCTCCACCCTCAGTCGTCTCCTCAGTAGTTCAGTGTACATAGCTAAAAATGTCCAGAAAGATAAAACTAAGATGTAATAATTCAAACAATTAAAATCATGGATTAATCATGACTAATCAAGATAAATCAGCCTTACTCAATATAGCAAAATATATGTGTATACGTGTACTGTGCTGGGACAGAAAGGCAGATGACAGCAGGAAGATCTGGAGTTTTATGAATAAACCCAATGATAGAATTATTAAGAATCTTTTTCTTCCAGGGTTGGAACCTCCACAAACACATACCGTACTCACTGAGATGATGTTTCAAGCCTGAGGCGCTTTAGTGACCAGAACACTTTTCCCTTCAGTCACAACAATCGATGGATTGTATAATCCATCAACAATAAGATGATGGACGGTGGACTACAGTGTCATTCTGTCTATCCGTTTGAATGAATTTCAAATTTTCTTCTGGTTGATGTCACAAGCGAAATAACAAGATAAATGCATTCACTTTACAGGACCAGTAATAATGTAATCATTTATAGTAAAAAAAGAAGCTCTAGTGAAAATAACTAGCTTTTCCAGGGTAGAAGGTTGTCAGACGGATGTGCTCTTAGTCCACTTTCTGACCCTGGAATTACATTTATGTGTTGAAAGAAGGTGTAAAATAGCAGCTGGGCTGGTTTTCTCCCGTGTTTCCAAATGTCCTTTTACGGCAGGTTTGACTGTAATTATGGGATGTCACACGTGAAAAAGATCAGTGAAAAGAAAATGACAGCTCCTTGGTGGTCCAACACTGCACTGTAAGAGGAAATATACGTCGTCTGATACGAGTGCTTTTAACTTCCTGCAGCATATGGCCAAAAAAAAGAGAAAAAGTTGCTTCCATTTAGTTTGTAGAGTCTATATACGAGGCCTCTAAATGTGTCCACAGCTGTTACTGGCAGCCTGACGGCAATTCTTTATTTGTTTTTAAGTAGATTTGGTTTTTTATTGTTCCTGAATATTCTATTTTGAAAATAAGATTGTAAAATCAGCAATCTGCATTTTTAAAGAAATGCAATACGTGATAAAAGGGATGTGATGTAGGTTTATTGCCAGTTTAGTCGCATTAATATATCACGGTACATAAGACCTGCTGCTGCTGCTGCCTTCACTCTTCTTTTTCGTCGTCTAACCAAAGATGGTTTCTGTAAACTTGCCCTTTTGTCACACTCCTGTGTCTTCTGTCCACGCGTCCTCAGAGACGTGCGTGTGTGGAAAGTCCATACAGAACGACTGGGGATCAAACCAGTTAACCTGTGATTTCCTTGTTGTTAGACAACAGCACGTACAGTTTCCCCCCCCCGCCCCCCCACCCCCCGATTGGTCTTCTAATTTTGTGTTTTATTTGACTTTTTCATTTACTTCAAACTTGATTGATGATAATGTTAGTAGTGGGTTTTTTTTCCTGTTTTTACACCACTTCCCCATGATTAAGATGAATGTGTGTCTAGGTGTTTCTAATCATTGAATCATTGTGAGCGTCGTCAAATGTTTGTAATGAATTGCTCTGAAATGAATTTGACAAATGCTGCCCATCAAACTAGAGCAAAAAAAGTTGTCGTCCAGATATTTTTCACTGTATTCCAGAACACAAATGTCAATTTGACCCTTAAAGGACACTGCAATGACAGCTGTGGCCTCGGGCCAATTTGAGTTTGAGACCATTGTTGTAAAAAAATAATGGTGCAGCTGCCTGTCAGACGGAAGGTAAACAACAAAATTCACACATTTCAACCTGTGCCCTGCTTTTTTTTTTTTTTCAAAATGTAGAATTATTTTTGGTGACCAATAATTCAATATACTTTTCCTCTTTCAACAGAAAAGAAAAATGGACGCATGAACATGTTGGGCTCCTGTGCTTATTACCAACTGCTGTCCTGCCAACGCCATGACCTACATTTCAAACTACTGTATCTACACAATATAAAATATAAAAAATAATAAAACCTCAATTGATTTATTAATATCTGGAAAAAAAACCCACACGTATTAAAACAGGGTTGATTAGCTTCACTTAAAACTTGAAAAAAACCCACACGTATTAAAACGCTCCAGGGTTGATAAAAAAAACACGTATTAAAACGCTCCAGGGTTGATTAGCTTCACTTAAAACTTCACTGTAAACTGATGCCCTGTCAAATGCTGTTGACAACACAGTGGCATATGAAAGTAAAGTCTAACATCAAACTCTGCGATTTACCATCAACGTGCACTGATCAACACCACGGCCTGCGGACGCCTCGCCTCTTGTTCTCGACTTTACTTATTAAAGCACATCTACGCGCTGAACCTTTCCTCCGGTGTCTCCTTCAATGAGACCTTCAAAAGCCACATGTGGCCTCTCGGTGAGTGACTGCAGAGATGAATCCTCCGTGTGGCAGTGACAGAGATGCTGATTTGCTCAGAGCTGCGGGTTGTTTCATTAATGTCGCAGCATCGGAGGAGCACGTACGATGATGGATTCTCCATGAGCTCAGGTCACATCCTGGAGAATTGCTCGTGCGGATGAAGATGTGTGAATGACGGACGTACGGCGTATCTCGTCGCCTATATCTGGGTGACACAACTGCGATTGATTTGCAGTCGTCCGTCTCTAGACACTGAACACACCACGGATTTAATAAAGGGGAATCTCACCTGGTGTTTATAATAAACAGGGATTGCGTGAATATGAAAACGATGAATCCAAACCGCCGTACATCTGATTACGGCTCAATGCCTGTATGACAGTGTGACGGGTCGTTTGCATGTACACACGGGCCCCGGGGTGTGACAGTGAACATGTTCAATATTTCTGAGTGACTGTATCCAATAACACAGGCGTTCACATGTAGGCCTAATCTTCTGCATTGATAGTGGCATGTAGTTCACTCACAAGTGAAAGAAAATCAATCAGACCTCCACTTCCTCTAAGTAGCAGTTCACCTGCACAGGCGGGGGTTAAAGTCACGTTCATTTCCTTAACAGGATGATTAATCATGCCACATATGTCTAACAGTCCACAGCTGCTTTCATATTCAGGCCCATCTTTAATAGAACGGGCCAAATCCTGCAGGGACCCTGCCTGATTGACTGGAACTGTTTTATTGCTAATGCGATAGCATCCACGCCCTTAGTCGTTCCTTCTAATGGACGCAGACAAGTGTAATACCTCAGCACTCCACGTTATGTCACACAAGTTTATGCCAAAGTACAAGAGATTAAAATGAGTCTTACGGAGAATGTGTGGTGGGCTGAGGAGATTAGAGAGATTTAGGCTGCGTGCTATTAGGAGCGGCCGTTGTTGTAAGTAAAGAAAGAAAGCAGAGAGGCCGCAGAGAGAGACACGGTGATGGATCTCACAGCCACAGGCACTTGGCCTTAAACTCACCTAACTTCCAGACCTGTGGTACCTGGGTGTTTTATGGAGTCTGAGGAGGCCTCTGTGGGCACAGAGTGACAGAACTGCTGCGGCGCTCAGACGCAGACTTACTGGGGGAGGTGATGACAGGTTGGAGATCTATAGGAGAGGAGAAAAATAATGAGCTTATGATCGCATACAAGACACGTTTCACTCCTCCTTCGCGCACACACACACATGCACGCACGTAAGCCCCATAAATTTCTTAGGGGATCAAGAGTCTCAACAGGGGTGCAGTTCACAGAAGCTTTCTTTTGAAAGGCCAATTTGCTGTGCACGGGCTGCACATCCGACCACACAGTTTTTTCCCTCCGTTTTCCATTGTCCCTCCTACCTTGCTTTCATGGACACACTGAAGTTACTCATAGAAATAATCGCCTACATTAAATCAAGAGCGGCCCATAAAATGAACTCTGCTCACACTTGAAACAGCAGAAGTGGCTCGTCCACAGCGTGACAAGATCCTGTTATCTGTGCTCATTAGCTGTGCCTACACGGGGGCTTGGTGCACTGATAATGTGTGAGTGTGAGCAGAACAATGACATGTGTATCTTTTTCCTTCACTGCAATCCTCATAATGGTTCCTCTGGAAGGTCAGGGGGCGGTCAGACTTTCTTCTGCCTGTGACTCGCCCTGAACGCAGAATTAACATGTGAAGACGACACGACAAAACAACGCGCCTGTTGTTTTGTTCTTGTCTCCATAAATTATTCAACATTTTTTGTTTAACAGAAAACTTGTTGCTAAGCACAAGATAAGATGGTAATGAGTGAGGCATACAGTGCAGCTAATGTGGGCAGACACACGTCTGTGAGTGGTGTTCATCAACCAACCTCAGAGAGTGAGTTAAAAAAAAAATGCTGTTAAAATACTACAAACTGTTCTTTAAAAGATCATCAGATTTGCGTAAATGTATTTGTTTATAATATTATTTATTAATAATAATAATAATAATAATACTATCCTTCAAATATATACCTATTCAAATGCTGATTAAATTAGGTAAACACCTTGCTCTTAATTTCTTCTTTCACACAGAGATTTAACGCCAGGTTCAGTTCACTGTTTAACTTAATGAGTTGTTTTTTTTTTTTTTGCAGAACAAAGTCCTCTGTTCTAACCCATGTTGTGGATTTAAAAGGTACACCTAAACGTAACAACGTCTTCTTCTTCTTCTTATTTCTGCATACAACATAAACAACCTCCAGCAGTGCAGTACACGTGTCCAACCAGTGGGACACGCTCCACCCCAGACTCTGCGTACATCTACAAACTGCCTTTGCTGACAGAGGAAAAAAAGGTGTTGTGTTTCAAGTGAAACATTTTTACTTTAAAAAAATAAAAAAAACTAAACTCCAGGGACGCAGAGTCTTCAACCACAAATGAAATTACTGTATCTCCTGTTCTTTCTGTTACTGGGACGACGAACCCCTCAATATCTCTGCTTCTGCTGATTCTGCTGACAAACTGCAAACATCACTGGTTTTTTATTTTAATCTTATACATCCAAGGTGAGGAGCCAGTGTTACAGTACTGTATCAGAATGATCTAGCTACGGAGACGGTCCCAGAGTGAGTTATAAGACATAAGCTCCTTATTTATTTCTAGTTTTTTAAACACAAATTTACATTATTCATTAAATGAGATGTGCAAGAAATATTTGACCTTTTTTTTTTTCGTTAAGGGAATACTGCGTATGAATGTTTACAAACCACATTTGACTGCATGTTTGTTCATATCATACTGAGGTGGATGGGAACAACACTTTGAATACATTTCTTACATTGTGCGATGAATCGTGATTAATTGTATAATAATTTAACTCTAATAAATACTAATAAAAACTCTAATAATGTTTTTAGGCTGGAATAAAACTGGACAAAAGTGGAAGCTGTTTCTGAGACGTTATTTAAAATATGTCACTAATTCAGTGTTGGAGCCTTGGGCGGGGAGATTCAGTGCTGGAGGCGTCGGACCACCACAGACCCAGTCACATGTAGCCAAGTGATGCAAAGACTCAGACCTGAGGAAAACTGAGCCAAAGATTAAATTTACTAAAATGTAATTATGAAAATATTTGTCAGAACGCAGAAAATTACATCACGTATTGTGTATGTCAGTGGTTCTCAAACTGTGGTACGCATACCACCGGTGGCGGGTAAAATTCGTATTTTCACATCAACATTTTCAATTGACTAAATCTGAAACATACCATGCACAATTAATACAACATTTAAACATAAACATCTTTCTAAACATGTCTCCTGTGGTGGAAGCGAACAGGGAAGGCCTGTGCTGCTAATGTTGGTCATCATGGTGGTACTCAGAGAGCTCCATGTTTTCTCAGGTGGTACAGAGTAGAAACAGTTGGAGAACCACTGGTGTATGTGATAGTTTTACAAATGGTACAACGACTGTGTCCGCTTTAAAGAAAAACTTTAAAGAATCTGCACATGAGTATGACTCTCTGACTGACTCTGAACATGAGCCCAACACGGTGAACGACACAGCAGACCATTGATGCTGATGAGACGGGGCCACCTCGGCCTTCTGTGCTGTCTGTCATCAGAGACATCTGCATGATTGAGGCCAACAGCCTGTAGTGTGTGACTTATTAAAGTGCAGCACAATTAAGCAGCCTGTCCCCTGGCTGACCATGAATGATGCTCAGCAGGCTCCACTGACTGACAAAAGTCAGAGGCTAAACTCTCTCTGACACATCACAGCTGCCTTTAATGCTCATCTCACCGCTGCGTGTGCACATTCATCAAGCTCCGCAGCCTTTCGTCTTGCTGGTGTTAATATACATCTGCATAATGGAAACCAGTCGACGGAAACATCGCCGACTCTCGCAATCTTGTCAGGAGCAGCAGAGAGAATTCCTGATAAGTCGTGGGTTTCTGTGTGTAACGTGTCTTTGCACAATCAGCCCATTATCCCCTTTTCTAAATTCAAGCTGAGGGCTTATATACAATTTTTATGAGAAGTCTCCAGGCCACTCAATCTATTTTGTAATCAGTGCTGAAGGATTCCTTGGGCCAGCTCATTTAGGGTGATCTAAAGGTTGCAGGTGTGAGCGTGCAGCGGTGCAGCACAGAGCGCCACTGAGATAAGTCCCCCACACTGACCGTCCCTGTATGCTGCCCAGGGCATTAAGAGTCAGGCCTCATTAGAGAGGTCATGATGTGGAGCATCGTAGACACTGACTCCCCTCACTGAAGCCACATGGCTGATGTGTTTGAGGCCACGCTGGGAAGCCAATGACGTGACAGGACACAGGCGGCTTTCACCTAAACTGCTCTTTGCAGTTTTGTCTTTTTTTTCCTCCCAATGAGTTGCAAATAGTGTAAAGTACAGCAGGAAGTAAGTGGCTGAAGTATAACCATGATTTACTGTACATACCTACAGTCAAGGACATGGACCACTGGAACTTATTCCCTCCTTGGAAACAAGATAATAAATAAATGAGACATCATTTTTTATTCGTTATGTGGGTATAAGGCAGTGATTCTTAACCATAGGGCTGTGGGCACAGCTTGGACCATCAGCGCCACACAGAGGGTCGCAAAAAAGTTTCAGTTTTGCACCTGTGGGCTTCATGGACCAGGAGACTGGAGGTTATAAACTGACGACACCAAAGATATGGTATCCACGAGAAGCTCAGTTACAATGCAGCGTTCAACCACATGGTGGCAGTAAGGCATCAGTCAGTTCTTTAGCAAGCTCCCATATACAGAGAAGAAGACTGTCTTCAAAAAATATGGAGATGTTTTTAAAATGAAAAAATAAGAAAGGTTATGTGGATCTCCCAAGCCCCAAAGACTTTTTTTTTTTTTAATTAAGCTTCACGGTCAGAAAGGTTAAGAACCCTTAGTATAAGGGATATCTTATTCTGATTTCTATTACATTCTTTATTATCTTCAAGTCATATTCACAGCTGCTGGGTTTTACAGCTTCAGTGTAACTGCCTTGTAAACGACAGTGTAGAAGGCTATCGTTTTATTTAAGATTAAATCAAATATAAACATGTACTTTCTGGACTGTTCCAGAATCATCACAGTAAGGTTCAGTGACAGTCTTTTCTGCTTGTTTCCACCATCTATCCCACTCACTATTGTCACAACACACCATTTTTACAAAGAACAGATCCTATTATAAGAGAAATAATGAAGACGTGGCAGCAGACGGTGAGGTTTTTAAACGGCAGTTTTCAAAATATGGAATACTGTTTGTTTTCTTTGGCTGCAGATGTTTCTCTGAGGCGAAGCATCGTCATGATTCATAATCCCTACGACGCCACTCTACATGTATTTGCTGAAGGATTTTATCGCAAGGACGTTGTGTGCGTCACACTTCATGGCTCTTAACCCGTTCTGAAGTAGGGTTTATTGTGACATCACTTTGGGCAGAAAAATGAAATGAAGTTTCCAGTTTTGTTTTGAGTGTTATTGAACTTTGGTCCAGATTGAACAAGGTTATTCCCTGGAATCTGTTAATAACATTATTGTTGGGTCATAATTGCTTCTTCTTTTTTTTACTGGGCTTTTCTTTTCTTTTTCTTTTACAATCATGAGTAATAATTTGTTCTGCCATGTTGGGGTCTCTTTAAAATGCATTTTGAATTTGTTTTATAACTCTTTGACGTACATGTTTCATACAGATCGTTCTTTGAAACTATTTTGGTGTTTTGCTGTAACATTTTGAATTTTATTTTTTAAATATTTCTGTCTGTGCACTTTTAGTCATCATTTTTTTCACTGCTGATCTGGTCTTTGTTTGTGTTTTATCTTCTACTTCTAGCCCTCGCTTTGTACACTAACACTTGAGTTAGCATCAAGTCTGTAGAAGTCATAAAGACTGAGAGCTGTTTGTGGCTGTGTTTATGGGAATTTCAGTGATGCTGACAGCAGGAAGTGCAGCCACGGCGGCAAATGTCTCACGCGTTATCTCGGTATAAAATGTATTTTTTCAAGGGACATTTACTGCAGTCACATGTTTTAAACCATTTTTTTTTATCACGCTTCAGTGAAGAACGTTACACCGACTCCTTCAGACTTCAGTTTTGGGATCTCGGTCCTTTACACAGACTTCAGTTTTGGGATCTCGGTCCTAACATAGACGTTCCATAGTCAGTTATTTCACAGAGGTTATGCTCATAAACATTAGGTTTTTACCTCATAAAGACAGAATGTTCTGGATTCAGATTATTTCAGGGGAAAAAATCCTCCTGCTTTAGCCCTGGGCTTTTTTATTTGCATATCATTTCTGGAGAAGAGAGTGAAGACTGACAGGGAGAAACAGAGACAGACGTGAAATATTCATGTTATCGTCATGCACAAAATTCATATTGAAGTTGGTGACTTTCCACGGGCGTATTCTGACCACTACTACTGCTGCTGCTGCTGCTGCTCACTGCAGAGATGTCAAAGATGGTTGTGTCTCTGATGATAAATTACCAAAAAAATTAACTTGAAATTACATTATAATCTTTGGTTTATTTATTTGACTACTCCTATTCAGATCAAAGTGATTTATGAATTCACTGTCTGAGGTCAGTTTGTGCCAAGAAGAGA